AATGGCAGCTGCCCTTGCTAACTGCTGAAACAAGCCTTAAGTGTATAGCACAAAGCGAGTTGCACAACCAGATAATAATTTGGCAAACCTAAGAAAAACGTGGCAGAAAGGTATTGTCAGCCCCTGTATGACAACATCGCCCTGCCACCCTTAAAGCCTCCACCGGACAACACCCCGCATTGTTGTTCGGGGGAGGGTCAAATATCTATAATTTATGATGCTGTAAGGGTTGAAACTCGAATGTATTTGTGAAATGCATTGGACTTCCAACGACCCAAGACGCGAATCTGCGCATCAGACAAGCCCTGCTCAGCTGCGAATGATGCTGCGCCAATTCGAAAACTGTGAGATTTATAAACCGTAGGATTGAGGTTGCAAAATTTTAAGCATTGATTGAGATAGGAAATAAACATGTTTCTCGGCACTGTCGCCCCCACAGGAGTCATGAAAATTGGCCCAGGAGAATTGCCACGGCGGGTCAAATAATTGCACAAAAGTTGTACAGGGCAGGGCTTGGGGGTTGGCTGACGATAAATGGCCATGGAAAACGGGCGTTGGTTGTAATTGTGTTTATAGTCGGTGAAGGTTATTTTAAAACCAATTACTTCACCGTCTCTTAAGAGTTTGGTGAGTTGGTTTAAATGTAGTGGAATAGGAGACTGCTTTGATGTTGAAGTTAGTTCGCCAATACGCAGAAAGGCGAAGAATGCCAGAGCACACATGGCTTTAAATTGGCATTGATCATATGTAGTGGTAATACACTGTGAAGCAGCCATAAGTAATCGGGTAAGGATTGGAAGGGTTATTGGTAACCGACTATCCAAGCGAAAACCCAGTTTTCCATAGCCCTTTAGCATTTGCATAATGAAAAAGACTTTTGTTGGGTCAGTCAAATTGAAAAGTTTATGTGAATACCCGAGAGCGGAGACATATGTGTTGACAGTTGCGGGGGCGTACCGCCGATCAAACATGTATGCAATGAAAAGTGCCAAAGTATGAGGTGAAATAGGCAATGTGTATGAAATAGTATCGGATATATGTAAATAGAACTGGTCAAAAAGTCTCCAAGCGCGTTGATAAGTAAGAATCGATGAGCGCTGCAGGCTGGATCGTGTCAAGAGGGAAACGATATTTCCCAATTTTGTGGCAGCAGAGCTTGAGGGATGTCTGTTGCGCAAGAATTCATCGAGGCTGATGTTTCGCGTTGAAAGGTTTGAACCTGAAAGCGAGACAACAGGTCAGCCAAACGATTATACGTCCCAGAGATATGCTTTGCTTTGAATAGAATATTATGTTGCAGGCATACAAGAACAAGTTTCCGAACAAACTGCATCAGAATCTTGTCTTTGCATGACTGTTTATTGATGACATAAACCAAAGCTTCGTTATCGGTGAAAAATAAAACACTGTGGTTCGCCATCTTATGACCCCATAAGCAGAGACTGAGTACAATCGGATAAAACTCTAAGATCGCGATGTTACGATAACGCCATTCGTCAGGCCAGAGGCCATGACAATATTCTGTGCCAAAAATTGCGCCGAAACCAATTCCACCCGCAGCATCCGTGAATAAATTAAGTTGCTGAGAATTTGCCCAGCGTTCCTCGAGAAAAAATGACCGGCCATTGTAATTTGCTAAAAACGATAGCCACACATTTAAGTCTTGTTTTGTCTCGCGATTAAGCCTGATAAGGTAATGAGATAAACGGATGCCGTGGGTGAGATCAATTAAGCGACGCAAGAATGCCCTGCCGGGAATGATGACAGAACATGCAAAATTTAAAAGGCCAATTAAAGATTGAATTTCCCTTAAGGTAATCTTCTTACGCTTTTGAAAATCAGAAATAAGGTCAACACATTTTCTCAATTTTTCCAAAGGTAAACGGGCCTCGAATCTGATCGTGTCTAACTCAATACCTGCAAAACAAAGCGTGGTTGAAGGACCACACGTTTTTTCCGGTGCCATGGGCAATCCAATAAAAGTGCAAAAATCGAGAAAACGTTTTAACCGAACTGCACAGGTGTCATAAGATGGTGATCTAAGGAGAAAATCATCAAGTAAATGTAAAATAGAATCGATGAGAAGTTTTTGTTGAGCAATCCACTGTATAGCCGTACTAAAAATTTCAAATGTTTTACACGAGCTGGCTGCCCCCATAGGAAGGCATCGATCATAATAATACATGCCCTGCCATTTCATACCCAGTAAATAGTGGTCCTCTGGTCGAATAGGAATAATACGGAACGCATTTTTAATGTCTGTTTTCGCAAGAAAACAGCCCTTCCCGTTGGATTTGATTAAACGTATTGCATCAGCCACGGTGGCATAATGCACACTAGTATCCTCAGAACCAATGCCATCATTGACCGAAGATCCTCGTGGGAAAGATAAATGATGGATCAATCGAAATTCACCAGGAGACTTTTTAGGCACAAGACCCAAGGGAGAAACTCGGAACGGATGAAATGGCATGGCATGAAAAGGTCCAGCGATTCTGCCAGCGACTAATTCTTTAGAGAGTTTTTGCGTAACAACGTTTTTGTGCGCTAAAGCTGAAGTCAAATTTTTACCCTCAGTTTGGTTAATGAAGCCGTGAAAATGTAAAGAAAAACCATGCGTAAAACCTGAAACAAGTGTTTTGCTATCGTTAGGGTTATAACCCTGTAAAAATGAATTAAGATGATTTATTTGTATGGGGGTTGGGAGCGGCATTGCGCTTATCGGACCTAGCGTTTCGGTTCTGATCTCGTTTTGGTAGGCCACGAAAATTACACCTTATGGCTGGGTGTGAGCCAGCGCATTTAAAACAAGTGTGCTTAAACTCACAGCCCGAACATTCCTCGCCTTTGTGAAATCGAAAACAATGGCCGCGAGGTATACTAAGAAAAGGCAATTTGGTAGTAGTATTAGTGACAGCGCGTTGCCCAGGGCCGACTGATCTATTGGTAGGATACTGCGATCTTAGCCACAATTCCCAATGCACATTGGCCCAAGGCACCGCACTGCGTTCTTTCTGTCTCAGAAAACGAAAATTTTCATCGTAAAAACGCCAATTATGGCCTCGATCTGCTAGGTCCTGCACAATATCGCCGTACTTCATGAGTGCGGGGGACTCATGAGGATATTTTTGTGTATACCACCCGACAAAAATTCGGAAAGCGCTCATCCAGGTCGCGATATGGGCGACCTTTTGTGGTTTGTGGACAGGCTCAAACGAAAGAGAGGGATGAAGACCATCATTAGAGGTCTTTACACTCAATTGAAATTTGGTGTCGACCGCCCCGGGATTGCTCAACAAAGACCCAAAATCAATATATTCGTCGTTCCAAATTTTGTTTTTTAATTTTGTTGTGATCTTGGAGTCAAGAGGCAAATGGATCGATTCATAGGGTTGACTTGGCATCGCAGAATAAGAGGAAGGCTCACCTGCAACGGCGGAATGGACGGACTTTAAAGCTTCTTCCACAATACCAGAAACAATGGCGGGTTGTTCGGTCGAGGTGGATGCTCCCATCGCGACAACTGGGGCCTCAACAACAGCGTCCGAAAACTCCGCTTGATGGTGTGGTGTAAGTCGCCGAGTAACTTCAGCAGTAACTGTTGACACGATCTGCTGAAGAAGCTGCGGGGAGATGGTACTAGCATCAGGCGTTGCCGAGGTACTGGCGACGTTGACGGGTTCGTGTACGGTTGAGCTCGTTGTTGCACCAGCGGACGGAGAAGCAATGGTTGGCTCTAAGGCAATGGTCGAACTACGAGTCTGCACACGAGGTCGCTGTGACGGCGATGGATTGGCCGGAGATTTCGACGACTTGCGTTTCGAACTCTTAGAACCTTTAGGTGGCATAATGAACTGAAAGAGAAATTACTGCAAAATGGATTAGAAGTTAGTTGCCCCTCTGAACGCAGATTGTGTAAGGAACGCGAACGCGATCGATAAATAGGAGAATTTTAACTGACTGGGTCAAGCTTGGCCACACTAAAACGGTGACCGCACCACTTGCCCAAAACGCCAGATGGAAAAAACGAGGGCGAAGCCTCGACTTACAGTGCATGAAAACATTTTCATTAAATGAGGGCGAAGCCTCTAACAAAATCTCGACGAAGCGAGAGGTTTTGAAATAATTAAACGAGGGCGAAGCCTCTGACAAATTCTCGACGAAGCGAGAGGTTTTAAAATAAAAAATTTTTAGAGGGCGAAGCCTCAACAGGGATCGCAGCGAAGTGCGATCCGTATAACAACAAATATTGAGGGCGAAGCCTCGACTCACCACGAAGGGTGAGATAGTTGTATTTTAACATAAACAAGTACTGGTATATAAATGCGAATAAGAAAATCAAATAAAAATGCGACCACCTGTGTGCTAAGCACAGCGTGAAAGAAACTGAATGGCCTTGAGGATGGCACCCCGATAACTTCTATACAAAGTATATTGAGATCTGCGGGTGTAATGGACGCCATCAGGCAGAAAAGGCGAAATGTTTGGCTGAGTAAAGCCTTTATGTCTCCAACAGAAGACATTGTGCTTATCTTCTAACACAACCGTAAGGTACTGGTTGAAGATCGCAACCTTCTCATTAAATTTTGGAGAAGAGGCCCGATTGGTTACCAAACACACGCCGACAACTCTGACGGATGGAACCCCGAGAAACATGCGCACTAGATCGTCAATTCTCGATCCCACAGTTTCGGGTTTTCCCAAGGTTAAGTCATTTGTCCCAACCTCTAAAATAACAATGTTGGGCTGAAACTGGGTAACCCTGTTGAAATCAAATTGAACTAATTTGTCAACAGTCCTCCCCCCAACACCATGCAGTTTGATAGCTACATTGTGCATGTTAAAATTTAGAGCAGCGCGAACATCGAATTTGGATCTTAAATCCCGATGCATGCGCTTCACAAAGGAATGACCAAATACCAGTACATTTGGGTTGGATGAAGCAATAATAGAAGACAATAGGTGAAAGAATGATTGTATAAAAAAGAAATGTATCGCTAACCTGAAAATAGGTCCAAAATGACGTTGAAGATAAATTCTGAGTTCTTCACGTGACCACTGATATTGGAGACTTGCAAAATATCTAAGTTATCTTGGTTTAATACCAAGAGATCGACCTTGATCTTGGCCCAGCTGTTACGTAGTTTCAAGTGCTCTAAATTTCCTCCCTCTTCAACAGGCGTGCCAGGATTAACATTAAATATAATTAAATTGTTACTCACTTATCTAATTAGTTCAGGTGTGACATAAAAACCCATATTTCGTGGGAAATATTTCTATATAAATCATAAGTATTCACTAGTTATAATCACTCTGCATATTTTCAGTTCTAAAATGTTGTATTTCGGCTGATGAGAAAGATTATGACTCGATCTTTTGACCATATGGAAACCAAGCTTTATAGTACTTAATCAACAACAGAGGGGACATTTTTGGGGACATATACATGTGCCTGTGGGTTTATACACACCCCAAGCCCAGGGGTATTCAAAAAAGAAACACTGGTTGCAGTTCAAATTAACCCGTGATAAAATATTTTTCTTCCTGGCAACAGGCTTCCAAGACCAAAAATTTCCTGCCAATTTTTTTTATAAATTTGAATTTTCGTTGTAATTCAATAACAGCGTTGTGTATTTAACAATTATTCACTGAAGGCGAGGCGATTAGTTGGGGAGTATTCACCGAGAGGAAGATTTGACCAATCAACATGTAGTATTTGTTATGTTCACTTGTGCAAAAATACTAAACTACCTTACTAATTAGTCATATACTACCTCAATATTAAGAAAAATATAGGTTTACTAGAATTAGGGACATGAAGGAATTCTATGAAATAATATTTGAATTTTGTTTTCAGATTGTAAATCTGAATTTATATCAGTATTCATGCACTATTCAATAATAGTAGTACGCCCTTGTTTTCCACATGTATCATAATAATGATAACAGACAGTCTTATATAGCACTGCCACATGATACAAATTTTTATGTTATGATTGTTGTATTTATGCTCTAATTGTAATGTTTGTTACTTTAAGTACCCAGGGCTTCTGCGCTTATTGCTCTCAGAGAGCTTATTGCGCACGCCGCAGAAGCCATGGGTACGAGGTTGTGCTGATTTTTGAAATCTCTCGAGCTTCATTCTTGATATCTTGCTTTTCCTTAAAAATTTCGTGTGAGATTAAAAAATTTCTCATGCCTTGGTTCAAATGTTGTGTTTTGTCACCTGGGGTTTCTTGACATTGTGGAAACAGCACAACTGGTTATGGTAACCATGATTTTGAAGTATAGGCAATTAGAAACTTAAATTAGAGATAATTTCATCAATAATTGGCCAAGGCAACCTAAAAAAGCATGTACATTTTATCTTCTATTATCAGAATATCACACTGCCTATAGTTGCCTGACAATTTTACTTTGGTATCAATGAGTTGAGTCCATCAGTGGTTGAGGTTTAATTAAGCAGATTATTATTATTTCAAATTAAGTTTGAATATATTTTATATTTGTTCTTATATTTATACTCAATTAGATATTGAATGATAAATACACCCCACATTTTAAATCAATTTTGTTGTTCTAACTTCTAATTCAAAATTCAACTTCATCATTAAAGTAGATTCACTCTACAGAAAGCTTCATTAAGGTTGCCTTCCAGTTTAAAAGAATAACAAATAAAAAATTACTAAAAGTCCAAATATCTTTTATAGTACCAACTCATGTCAATATATTTTGTAAAAAGGCTTCATAGTAAGATGAATAATTGAAAGTTTGAAACCGTCTGGTCGATCAAGGTTTAACATATATGATAAAATGAACTACTAACTTTCCTTTAAAAGTATGCTTGAGTATAGTAGATCATATTCTGTCTCAGTAATTGGAAAGCAAACTAGAGATTGTGTTGTCATACCACTGTGGCGATAAAATATTATTCCCGCATGGACAACTTTGAACGAACAAAACTGACGATATTTTAGGGCAATCTGGATAATTTTCGTTTTGAAAGCATTGACATAACATTTTTACCCACGGTGGAGCGATGAGCTTGGTAAAACTTCGCAAAGTATCTCAAATTCGGGAAACTTCACCTTGGTTCACGTTGTTCGCCATACATTTCTATAGTAATTTGTATCACTCCGTGGTCCCCGGATGTGATTTTCGCATATATAATTTGGCTTCACTTTTCACACCTAGAGAAGCTATATGAAAAGTGTACGTAACACATCACAGTACAGCACAATATAGTGCAATATTGCTGCTAGAGAGCAGCGGGACATAAAAACGATATCGTCCCGGATATCGTTTTTTGTCCTGGATATCTTTTTTGTCCCGGATATCGTTTTTTGTCCCGCTAAATTTCGCGACTTGTCAAAACAAAGATGGCCGGTTCGAGGTTCGTGTTGGTTGATGTCGAGAGTTTATCGAAGAAAACAAGAACGATAATACAAAATGAAAGACTTAAATTGTATATTATTTATATGAATGGTCTATTTATTTTCTAAAATCATATTTGTTCAGTAAATGATGAATTGTTTTGAATTCTAAAATGATCCTATTTTTTTAAAAATCAAAACTGTTTACTTTTGGGTGTCAAACCCTGATAAAGGCACAAGTATATAATAAATAGGTTATCGTACTCGGGATTCGGTGATATCAGTTTTATCGCTCTCGGGACAATATCACATATATATATAGATATATATATATATATATATATATATATATATATATATATATATATATATATATATATATATATATATATATATATATATATATATATATGTTATAATAATATAAATGTTCTATTTCGTCTGCATTTAGTCTAAGTGCCATCATTTATCAAATCGTGCATTGATGTCATCTAATTAACACGTACTCGACAAACACAGTAAAAATAGGTACGCGACGCGTGCACATTTTTTATTATCTTGAAAGGAACTATATTAAAATAAATATAATAGCAAATAAGATTTTAATGTCCAAAATAATACACATCTAACAGGGCTGTGCACAGCGGGAAGGGCAACAGGGACAACTGCCCCCCCCCCCGCCTGCCAAGAAAATATTGATAACTTATTTACTGAGACAGAGGGAAACAGTGAGTTTTGTGGACCCGAGACCGTCGATGTTTCCCGAGGGGAGCCGAGGGTAACATCGACGGTTGAGGGTCCCAAAACACACTGCTTTCCCTAGGTCTCAGTAAATAAGTGTTTTATTTTATATTAAAAGTCAAAGAAACAACAAATTAAAGAACAAATGAACATAAATACATGAAATATTTTATTGTTAAAACGCAATATTAAACACTGGCTACACCGCAGTTACTTAAAGCGAAAGTTTTAATTACGTACTAGGCATGTCCAAAGGTCGTATCTTCACGTGATGGCGCACGGGATTTTTTTTGTTATTCGCCGGTCGATAACGTATTATCTCCCTCTTGCGCTGTTGCGAGGGAGACAGCCTAATTTCGTCACTCTCACGTGATATGCTCGCAACCAATAAAACACTAGAAAAATGCAACTTTGACTATTGATATATAATAAAACTAATTACCTCCGCCGAAAGGTTATGTAATCATCTGGGTTTGTATGTGTGTATGTGTGTTTGTCAGTGAGCACGATAACTCAAGAAATACCAAACATATTCATACGAAATTTTTTTATTGCATTTCCCAACGGCCAAGGAATAGCTGATTAAAATTTGTTTAAATTTGGTTGAAAATTAAATCAGAAATAAACAAAATTTTGTTTGCTTTTCCCGATCAATTAAAAAAACTTACTGAATGCGTAATTAGGACGTGTGATAATTTATGCACCAGTATACAGAGTATTAGGGATTATAAAGGTAAACAAACAATGTTAAAAAACTCATTAATAATTCATGAAGAAAACACAAAGAAAAATCATAAGCGTGTCGTATCTGTATATGTGATACAGATTCATGTTGATTTACATAAACTTTAACTTTGATTTTCTCGGCTTAGACAACGTTTACTTTTAAAATTACTTTGCCAATGAACAGTGGCGTAACGTTAAAGCAGGGGGCCCCCGGTTCAAAATTTTCGAAGGCCCCCTACTAGAAGTGCCAAAGGCACGAGTCGAGTGCTGTATATGCACAAGTTTTCTAGGGGGTCCAGCGCGTGCTCATCCGGAAAATTTTTGAATCTAGACTCTCTGAAATGCCATTTCCTGGACTTTGGGGAAAGATGTTACAGAATTCTGATGGTCAGAAAACGACATTGTAACATATCAGAGGCCCTGGCCAATGTTTTTGCTCTATCGCCGAAGCCTGGGGGCCCCCATTGCCGGTTGGGGCCCCCGGGTTCTCCCGGTCTGAGCCCATAGTAGTTACGCCACTGCCAATGAACTTGTAAGATGGGCTGTTTTCTCGCCTTTGGCTCGAGTTTGTATATCCGATACAACACGGCCGCTCATGTCATAAACTGTACGTATAATCTTTTTAGATTGTATACAATTGTAAATCTCACTTATATAAGGGAGGCTGCTCAAAAATCGTGTGTTTTATAAATATATTCTAATTTCGTAATAATAATAATTGGTCAATGGTTATATATACACGCTGGCAATATTTTAGGTACGTTTTATACGCCGAATTTCGGTGGCGTCGAATGCGATTAAGACAATAGTCAATTGATAATAATGAAATGATAAAACTAATTAAGCTTCATCCTTCATTTACAGGGGCGTAGGAACCGGGAGGGAGGGGGGGGGGCTAGGCCTCCAAGTTTTGCCAAGTGCCCTTTTTCAGGGAGCAAAATTCCCTTTTCTTGCGTGAAAAAAGTTTTTGCCCAAAGGGCACTTTTCAAAACTTGAATTTATGTTACTTTCCGAAAAATTTGTTTCATTTCCGGGAAAAATACCAGATGTCCGAAATTTTTTTGGGTATTTCCAGAAAAATTTTTTCAGATTTAGGAAAATTTGATACATCCGGAAAAATATTTTGAGTATGTCCGTAAAAAAAATTTGAGACCTCCCCTCCAGTCGCCAACTTTTCCGGGAAATAATTTTTTGATGCCCTTTTTTATTCGGAAAGTGCCTCTCAAAGCCTCCCCCCCCCCCCTCAACTTTTAGAAGCTTCCTACGCCCCTGCTTCATTATTATCTATTGTCTTCCCGCGACCGAAATTCAATGTAGGCTTACGGAGTTACGCATCGTTACGTTCAGAAAAGTGCTAGGGCATTCAATTTCTAATAATAACAATAGATTATTTCAATGCAGGGTGTATAAAAAAAACAAGGGAGGTTTAGTAGAAGTCCCTCGAGATTGTCTTATGATTGTGGGATGAACACTTCTCATATAATACGCACGCGCAGAAACACATCTGCGTGTTCATTATTTTTAGGCACGCGCATAAACCGAATTTTCTCCCACAATTGAAATGTTCAAGATTGCGGAAAAAAAACTAGCAAATCAATCCATTCTCATTGAATTTTCAAAACTTTATTGTGTTCATATGAAGCAAAAGTTCTGTCACATGTCGTTTACATTTGCCAATGTTAACTGTTGAGTAACATACACAAACTTTGAGGGACATGTATTTTTCTGTAGCAAAGAGGTCAATAATATATCGAAGACCACTGAATAATGGAGAATGTTTTGAAGGTCATGAGTGATAGTCCATCACCTGGAAGCCGAAAATTTGAGTGTAATACTCATCTTAGGGGAACAAACGAAACTGATCGCATATGAAAGCTTAGCGTTTTAGCTTTCAAAAAATGTCTTGGCGGACGTTCAGAACGGTAGCTTTCCTATAGAATTTCGACTTTGAAGTGGCGTACTTCGAAGCAGTGAACGGCCGCCATTTTGTCTCTCAGAGAAAATCCCGCATAAGAATATTCAGACATAAACAACCCAAAAAGTGTTAAATAAAGGTCTCACCTCAAAGACTTGTAGCTGCATGCTTTATACATGTTTTGATTTACTTAGAACTCTTATTTTATTTAATTTACAGATTTTGCCATTTAATACAAACTATTACACAAAATTAGTTATCACAAACTATTACACACAATAGATTACATGGCTGGAATTACCACACAGAGATCAGTTCTCCAATAACGGGGTTCCAAGACATTCGAAATACACAGTATGAACAATAACAGGCTTGCAGACCGACAAACAAACAAACAGACAGACAGACAGACAGACAGACAGACAGACGTGAAGATCAACAAACAAGCACAACGAATTACAATCAACGACTTACAATTTATGTGACAATAAATTTAACAACATGCTCGATTCGACAAGTTAGTCAATGGGCGAGTTGAATGACACTTCACACAAACAGACTTAAATGTTCTCGGATCCTCGGGTTTATAAATTTCCTTGGTGAGATACTTATAATGTTGCATTAAACAAAATTTGAAAGAGACCAAGGTTTTGTTGGTTTCTCTGATCAAACAGGGGAGTGTATTCCACACGTTGGCAACTCTGACGTAGAAGCTGTTTTGGTAGCTCACTGTCTTGAACTTGGCTACTTCAAGTAAGATACCATTGGTTGCATTAGTACTTCGTGTTTCTCGAGTAGGAATTTTGATAGAAATGTTACTGTCAGAGTTGGAAATGATGCACTTGTAGAGATACACTAGATCTAAATACTCGTGCCAGTAACATATAGGGATGATGCCGATGGTGGTCAGTCTTTCCTGGTATGATATATCGGTTTGGTACGGCAATGACAAAATAAATTTGGTGGCACGTCGCTGCACACGTTCAACGGTCAAGATGTTGTTTACCGTCTGGGGTGCCCATACCTGACTACCATAAGCCAGCTGACTACGAACCATAGTCAAATAAAGTACCTTACGAACTCTACGCTGGCGAATGTCGAACGCCGTTCGCTTTACGAAACCTAACATTTTATTTGCTTTGGTCGATATCTCTTGCACCTGTTTGTTCCATTTAAGGTCGTTAGTGGTAGTTATGCCAAGATCTTTCTGACTGGATGATTGTAGGACTGGAGTGTCTGATATTGTGTACTGTGTGATCATCGGTTGAGCAATTCTTGAGAAATGCATGACTACACACTTGGTTTGGTTTAAGTCCATCCTCCAGTCATTACACCAGTTGGCAACACTATCCAGGTCTTGCTGCAGAATTATGGTGTCTTGGAAATTTCGAAGATGACGGTGACATTTTGTGTCATCAGCGAACATTGACAAGGTAGTATCGTGCGAGGTAGACATAGGAAGGTCGTTCACGTAGATGAGGAAAAGGAGTGGTCCAAGGATTGATCCCTGAGGAACTCCAGAAAGCACTGGAAGTGGTTCAGATGTTACACCAAGAACAGTGACTCTCTGTAATCGCCCAGAAAGATAGTCCCCGAACCAGCGAAGAAGATTTCCTCTGATGCCAAAATTGTGAAGCTTCACGAGTAAGAGATCATGGCTGACTTTGTCGAAAGCTTTCGCGAAATCAAGATAGATAGTGTCAACTTGGCCCCTTTTCTCTAAGACATTATGAATCTCGTGAAGAACATAAAGCATCTGGGCAGTTGTAGACTTGCCGCTTTGAAAACCGTATTGAAGATCATAAAGTTGACTTGAGAGGTAGCCAATAATTCTATTGTAGATGCAACGTTCAAACACCTTGGAGACCAGCGACAAAAGTGATATTGGTCTATAGTTGCAGACTTCATGGAAAGGACTTTTCTTTGGAATTGGACTGATATTAGACAACTTCCACTCCAACGGCAGTTTTCCACAAGATAAACTCTTGTTGAAAAGTTCGCATAAATATGGACTGATGTTAGCTGCGCAGGTTTTTAGCAATACCGCCGGAATTTTGTCAGGACCAGTGGCTTTGTCTACGTCGAGAGTTGTAAGTACACAACAAACTTCTCCTTCAGCTAACTCGAGATCTGAGATGGTTATTAGATTAATCGAATCGTCGTCAGCAGGAAGAGGGCTGTGATGAGCAGCATCACATGGTTTAAACACGGAGTAGAAGTAGCGATTTAGCAGGTTAGCTATGTCGATTGGATTTTCAGCTGTTGTGGGAGAAGAGTCTTGTTGGGTCCATGTCATTTTTCCAGGAATGCTTGAGCGTTTGGAAGTGGCTTTAAACACTGACCAGAACTTTTTGCTGTTTGATTTTAACAGTGTTGGAAGAGATTGAAAGTACTGCGTGCGCTTGGTTCTAACTAAAGACTTAGCTGTTCGTCGAAGTTCGCGGAATTTTTCCCAGAGTCTAGGACACGACGTACGTTTAGCTTTGTTCCTGCACGAGTCCTTTTTTGAGAGAAGACGCCTCACTTCACCGTCAATCCATGGAGGAGTGTTACGACGCTTGAATGTTTTGACTGGGATAAGCTCAGCAGCAACGCCGAGGAAGAGATCTTTCCACCGTTCCCAATCAGTGTTGACATCACTGGACTCGCTAGGTGATAAATCGCACTGATCAAGCGCTATTCGTAAACCGTTCCAATCAGCGAGATGAAAGTTGAACACAGTTCTCTTATCATGTCCTGTTAATTTTACTTGTAGTAAAAAGTCGAAGAACATTAGGTGGTGGTCACTAGAGAGGTGCACTGTTTTGGCTGCAACGCACGTTAGATTAACGATGTTGTCAGGAGTGGTTGTTAGGACAAGCTCTAAAATGTTGTTAACTCTAGTCGGGTACATGTTCACTTGCTGTAAGAAAAAATCAAAACTCAGTTCTCTGAATTCAGAAGACCCAGCAGAAATATTTTTTTCTGAAATAACAAGCACAAAGTTCGAGTTCCAAGTTAGATCGGGGAAGTTAAAATCACCAGATAGTAGTACTTTATCATAGTGGGAAGTTTCCTCCATTAATGCCGCTCAAATCAACTTTATGATCTTCAATACGGTCTTCAAAGCGGCAAGTCTACAACTGCCCAGATGCTTTATGTTCTTCACGAGATTCATAATGTCTTAGAGAAAAGGGGCCAAGTTGACACTATCTATCTTGATTTCGCGAAAGCTTTCGACAAAGTCAGCCATGATCTCTTACTTGTGAAGCTTCACAATTTTGGCATCAGAGGAAATCTTCTTCGCTGGTTCGGGGACTATCTTTCTGGGCGATTACAGACAGTCACTGTTCTTGGTGTAACATCTGAACCACTTCCAGTGCTTTCTGGAGTTCCTCAGGGATCAATCCTTGGACCACTCCTTTTCCTCATCTACGTGAACGACCTTCCAATGCCGTGAACAAACAGACACATACGAGAGATTTCTTAGAATTTATCAATTCCAGTTCAAGCGCAATAATTTCTAAACGATCTGACCAGTTTGGGCTATTTTTACTTGCAATTAATCTATTATACGCAATGTCTTCACGTAATGCTATAAACACTCCGCCACCGCGTTTGTCAGCCGCTCGGTCTTTTCTTATGACGTGATAACCTTTCGGTAGCAACTCATTGTTCGTGAAATTATGATTTAGCCATGTCTCAGTTACCAAAATCAAATCAATTGATCATTTCTTTAAGGTTTTCAGATACTTTCAATCTTCAATTGATCATTTCTTTAAGGTTTTCAGATACAATCTCACTCCCACCAAGTAGCGATTGTAGCGTATTTTAATTATTTTAAAGTCTCGTAGTCATTGTCAACAATTCCGAATTGATTTAAAACTTTGTAATTAGAAGTGAACAGATTTTACGGACCATATATAAAACCTTATCTTTTAAGCTTTCAAAAATATCTAAGCAGGTTGTCTGGGTGTTAATAGCTTTCCAAAAGAAATTATACTTTCAACTGTGCAGCCATTTTTGTCACGCATTTGTCACACAGAGGAAAACCCGCATATTTATTAGCGATATGGAACAAAACTCAAAATAAAATAATTTTGTAGTTAGTACACTGTAGAGTTTGTTAATTATGGAGGATACCGAAAAACATAAAAATCTATGTATTAAAGTGTTTTCTGTTTTATTTTCTAGATATAATTTATATTTTATCAGAAACTATAAGTTAATTAAGAAAAGAAATGACATATCTGCATACTCTGCACGTACATTTCAAAATTGATCAAAACAAAATCACGTGACGATCATACTTCATTAGTTCTTATTTTAAAATATGATACAGCAGTTTTTATAGTAATTCTATAGTTACGTTATTCTAGTCTTGCAGAATAAAATGCAAAAACCTTTCAACTGCTTGTTTGTTTATCAGACATTCAGTCTGGAACTGTTGTACGAACAGGCTTAGAGTCCATGTTGTAGTTAGTGCGTTATTTCTACTTGATCAGAAAATTTCAAAATGGAGTATTGTGTAATTTGCAGCAGCAAAGAGTGATGAGAATTTGGCACAGTGTAAAGATGCAGAGTCTTGGGGAGATTGTATTGTGCTGCAGAAATTAGGCAATTCACGCCAATTCTAGATTTGTCGCATGGTAAACACGATTTCCCTCGATCAACTGTGAAGTATCATGTTACTTGTAGAAAAGGGTTTGTAAACCAGAAAAATCTTCAATCTCTATCGAAGAAAACCGCGGGGAGTAGCAAAACAGGACAAGACCAGCCCCAAGTTAGAAGGGGTAGTCGCGATGTGGATAGATCGGCCATAAATTCAGCAGTGCTTCCCCAGACGTGCATATTTTGTGAGAAACCAAAATACAAACCGGGAACAAAAACACGAGAGAAATTGCACGGCGTCCAAGAGTTTAGAGCAGATGACACGGTTAGAAAAAGCGCGTCGTTGCACCTTAGTAGGCACACTAATATGAGTGCCATTGCTGCAAATATTTCTGGTATTTGCGCCAAGGATTTGATAAGTAGTGAAGGGAAGTATCATTCTTCATGCTACAAAGCTTTTGTTCACATTATATACGAGACTGATGAAGCTGTCAATAATCCCACTGAAGCTATGGGGAATAATAATGGTGAGGTGTATGAAGCTGTCTACTCCTTCTGTGAAGCCTTAATATCAAACCCAAGAGTCGTAGAATTTAAAGAAGTTAGGAATGTCCTATCAGACGAGGCAGATAAATTGGGTGTGGTAGTAACACAGTCTCAATATAAAAACCTCTTGCGTCTGATATCTAATAAGCTCGAACAGCTAGTATTTCTTAATTACCAACAAAATAAAGTTCTGATGTATCCCTCCACCTTAAAATTAGAGACAGTCGTAGTGGAAAACTTTGAGCTTAAAAGTGAAGTTGCAAATCAAACATCCTTGGATGAAAATTCAAAAACAGTAATCAACGCGGCGAAAATTCTCAACGAGAAAATAAAATACCATCCCCGTGCAATGGCGTGGCCCCCCGAAGAAACAGATCTAGGTATTGATAAGGTAGCCGACTGTGTTCCTGAATTGTTAGATACCTTTTGTACCATCCTTTTGTCTGGCCAGTTATTGGACAGGGACAAAAGCAGGTCTGACCGCATTGTGCGCCTAAAGAACTCATTAGCACAGGACATTGTCTACACCGTATCTAACGGAGCAATTAAGACGCCTAAAAGTGTACTTTTTCCATCTGTGGTAAAAGCCTTGTGTAATAATACAGAAGTTGTTAAACTTATTAATAAATGTGGCCATGGAATCGGTTATAATCTTGTTGAAGAAATCGAGACGGAATTTGCGCTTAAAGTAATTAACGAACAAACGTTAAATCTTGTTCTTATCTCAGATGAATGCAAACAGTTCAACAACCTACCCGTCGCACTCATGGTAGCGGACAACATTGATAACTTGGAATACCTCGACACACTGGACTCGCCAGCCACAGATCTTAAGACGGCGTATGAGGTACTCTGCCGCGGACGTGAAATCAAAAACAAGCTTCAGCTGAATGCAGTAGCTTGCGTATTTGATCAGGCGTTCTATGCGAAAGCCATGGAAGTGCTTTGGAAGCAGAAAGAGCAATTTGAAGGTTTATTTCTAATGATGGGTGGGTTTCATCTGTTGATGACACTACTGGCAATCATCGGCGACCGTTTTGGCGACGCTGGCCTCAGAAATGTAGCTGTGCACAGTGAGGTGATAGCTGAAGGCTCAATTGACAGCGTTCTAAACGGCAAGCATTATAACAGAGGCGTTAGACTACACAAGATTATGTATGAGGCGATGACTAAGCTACTTTTAGACGACTTTGAAAATTGCTTGCATGAGGATTCGTTGGAATTGCTAAGTGACCATAAAACGCAGTTGGATCAGCTCAAGCTCAATCTTTGTTAAGAAGAAATCGAGCAGATCCTGAAGAGCGAGCTGCTACAGCAATGGGAGAACCCAGCCTAGACCTAGGCCTTCTATTTTTATTTATATTTTTTTAAGATTCAGCGCTTTTTCACATGAAAAGACTGGGACTAAGTGATTTGGGGGCGGGGCGGAGGAAGGACACAAGCCTGACGCAAGCGAAAAATAGAAGGCCTAGTGGATTTCCCAACAACAAGGCCAAAACTGCCCTGTTTGCGAAATGCTCAATTATTGCGTTCTCAAACAGAATTACTTGCAACTTAACACCGAATTTAAACCGATACAGGTAAAATAAACTCATTTATAGTATAAACTTACTATTTTTATTTGTATACACGTCTAGAAAATCGGGTTTTTTATCATAAAGTTTGAAGCAACACTATTATTTATATGTTGACAAGGTGAAGCGAAAGCACAAAATAATAACTTTTATTCGCAAGACAATCTACTGTTTTGCTTTGAATAACTATATTTGCGAATTGGGAATGAGGATTTTGAAATTATTGTTCAAATATTACGGATATACCATTTGTAAACAATGTACGTTTTTATATACAGTACTGTACGGGCTAGTATTAAATATATCCGTTTTATTTTGTATATTTTACAAACACAAGACTGCTTCTTGCCAAAATTTATAAAATATATATTAATGTAGTTGTGTATAAGACAAAATTTCATGAAAGATTCTACTTTTGGTGTATATATTTTTTACTCATTTTGTGCTTTCGCTACACCTCGTCAACATAATAATAGTGTTGCTTCAAACTTATGATAAAAAAAGCGATTTTCTAGACGTGTATACAAATCAAAGTAGTAAGTTTATACTATAAATGAGTTTATTTTACCTGTATCCGTTTAAATTCGCCGTTAAGTTGCAAATACTTCTGTTTGAGAACGCAATAATTGGGCATTTCGCAACCAGGGCAGTTTCAGGGCAGTTTTGGCCTTGTTGTTGGGAAATCAACTAGGCCTTCTAGGCTTACTTCCTCCGCCTCGCCCCCAAATCACCTAGTCCCAGTCTTTTCATGTGAAAAAGCGCTGAATATTAAAAACATATAAGTAAGACTAGAAGGCCTAGGTCTAGGCTGGGGAGAACCGTTTCCAGGAACATGTAGCTGACATAAGGCAGAATGGCAGTGATCTTGCAAAATTTTGGATCACGTATTTGCAACTCTGTGAACTCCTACTTGATCTGATCAACGCAACGAGAACGGGCAACTGGGAACTGTATCTTTCTTGTATCGAAGGAGTTATACCATGGACATTTGCCTACTACCGGCAAAACTATGCGCGCTATCTAATTCCATACCTGAATGATATGCGTGCTTTGCCAACAGTCATGCCTGAGGTTTATGATGCTTTTCTCGCTGGTCATTTCAGTGTACAGATGTCCAAAAGTAACCCATTTGGTCAAAACGAGGCCGACAAAACCATCGAGAATACGATCAACAGGGATTGCAAGACGAGTGGCGGCTACATCGGATTCAGTGCCAATTTCGAGGCGACTCAGCGGTGGGTCTTCAACAATTCCAGGCGCAGCTCATACAGACAACTCTTTCGCGAAGACGTATCTCTGCTGTCTACTGAGAACAAGCCCCACAAAGAGCTCTCACCTTCCCATATAAGATCAGACATGGAAGCTGTAGCAAATGTGGTTGACGTTTTGGAGAAAGTTTTCTGCAATCCGTGGAACAGAGACGTCGTGCACCTGATTAGCCTGTCAACCGGGATATCAGCAACTCCTGAGGGCAGAGATGACGTACTTCAGGCTGATGAAAAGGGAAAAAGTGCGTCTAGGAAATTCGTGGAACAGCGATGCTCATCTGATGAAAGTGTTCCCTTCTTTGATCCTCTGACGAAGCTCAAGCTTAAGTCATTCAAGAATCTCAAAGCTGTTAAGAAGGTTCGTTCTAAGGATGATGTAATTCCTATCAAACTAGATCGAGACGTATTCGCGAGGATGGCGTTATTGGGGCAATTTCGCAAGATAGACATGCGATTGGTGTTTACATATCCTCTCGGACCACTAGCTTGGGCGCTAGCAGATCCTTATGGTCTTCCAAGAAAGACGGACAAAGCCAAGTTAGCTCAGCAACTGGAAAAGCAACTTGTCGTCAAGGACTGTTATCCACTCGATGCTACAAGTATTTATGACGGGATGGCTGTGCTTCAGAAGTTTAAACCACCGCCTGGAGCCACACTTGCAATTCTAGACGAAAGTTTGTTCACAATGTTAACCAGCAACTCCAGCAAGCGAATTGACATTGTCTTCGATATTTATAAGGATATCTCCATAAAGAATGCAGAAAGATCGAAACGTGCAACTGGACCAGTAGGGATTACTTACAAGAACATCTTGCCCGTTTACCGAGTGAAGAATTGGAGCAAGATCCTGAGTGTACCAGCCAACAAAACTGAGTTAGTGCGGTTTCTCGTGGGTCAATGGAAACAGGGCAGTCAAGCTTCTCAACAAACACTCTACGTAACTGAAGAGGAAACGTGCTGGAAAATCAGCTCGTCAGAGGCCAGAGTAGTACCAGAGCTGAGAAGCAACCACGAAGAGGCTGATACCCGTATGGTCCTACACGCCAAGCATGCAGGTGGCAAGTGTGTCATCCACTCAGAAGATACGGACGTTATGATACTACTCATTGGCCACGCCCACAACCTGGGCAAGTGCTACTTTCAGAAGGGAAATGGATCAAAGCGTAGAATTGTCGGGATCTCTGAGATTGCTGATGAACTGGAAAGGCAACTAGCAGATGGAATTACAAAACAAGAACCTTGTGTGAGGCTTTAATGGGGCTACATGCGTTAACAGGTTGCATGCGACACAGTGTCAGCCTTCTCTTCGAAGGGCAAATTGCGGCCAATGCAGATGCTCGTCAAGAATCATATCTATGTGAAGACAATGAAAGACATCGGCAAGGAATGGAGTGTAAGCGATGATACATTTAGCGCAACAGAAGAGTTCGCGTGTCATTTATATGGAAAGAAGGGTAAGAGTGTGGATTCATTGCGATATGAGCTCCATTATGCGAAAGGTGGCAAGGTCGCGCCAGAAGAATTGCCGCCATGTCAGTCATCGTTACGGCTGCATGTGTCTCGTGCAAACTATCAGCCTGCTATCTGGAGGAGAGCTACAGAAGCGTGTCCTGATATCCCTTCTCCGCATGGGTATGTCTGGAACGTGAGCTCTTCCACTTTAGAATTTATATGGCTTGGTTCGAAGCCCGCTCCTGAAGAAGTGATGGAGCTACTTTCCTGCACCTGCAAACGCAGTTGTACAGAAGATACATGCTGCTGCCTCAAAGCAGGTCCCAAGTGCACCGAGATGTGCAGTTTGAATTGTGATAATATGCAATCTGAAGATGATGAAACAGTTCTCAGCGCCGATAGCGACGATGAAGATGACTAATACACATGTTAAAAGGTAAGAGAAGTGATCTACAGTTTGCAAAATTTTGATACCAAAGCGTAAAAGAGAACAAATTGGCAGTTGAGCGAGTGTATAACTTCGCTAAATCAAATAACAAAACGTTTCACTCATTTTTAAGATTAATTCTAAAATCAACAGTAACAAACTATCCTCAATTTATACTTCATTTATATATGTTTAGAAATAAAGAAAATACTTCCAATGGACGATACTTGTCAACAAACAAAACGAAGAATGATTAATTGAACCACATGCAACAATGGGAATGAAATAACTCTTAAACATTGCAATTCTACATAAGGTACCGGTCATTATTTATCGGGGGGGGGGTGGATAGGTAAAAAAAGGGGATGGTCACAAGACCAAAAATGGCAGGGGGGGGGGTGTCATCATTCATTATAAACCCTATGCCAACAGTTGGTAAAAATTTAGAGTCTTTTCAATTTTCATTTAAATTAATTAACAATTGACAGCATATACTGAACAGTTCGTCAACGAAGTGGAAGAGGTACGTTAAAGTAAAATTTAATTACGTTAAACTTTAAAGAAATGATCAAATAAACAGTTCTAAGTATGTCAAAAGATATATAAATCCCGCAGCTACAATTCTTTGAGGTGAGACCTTCTTTATTTAACACCTTTTGGGTTATTTATGTCTGAATATTCTTAGGCGGGATTTTCTCTGAGAGACAAAATGGCGGCCGTTCACTGCTTCGAAGTACGTCACTTCAAAGTCGAAATTCTATAGGAAAGCTACCGTTCTGAACGTCCGCCAAGACATTTTTTGAAAGCTAAAACGCTAAGCTTTCGTATGCGATCAGTTTCGTTTGTTCCCCTGAGATGAGTATTAGAACTCCCTCAGGTGATGGACTAAACGTCTTAGAAAAATCAGGGGGGAAAACTCTAACAGCGCACTTTGATACGTGGGTTTCCTTCGATAAATGATGTACTAAACTTATCAAATAGTGAGTGAGTGAGGATTTTTTTAGAGTTAAATTGCCTCCTATCGATTTTGTTTTTGATTTAAGCTGGGATCAAACAATCGGACACAAACTTTTCGCAGATTTTGAACAAGGTAGGAGTCAACGAGATAGAACACAAACCTGTTGTTATATCTGAGGCTACTGATGTTTTGGGATCGGCTTTTTTCCAAAATGCAGGAACGCGTTGTTGCTGTTTCGAAGTATTAAAGAGTGAGGCAACCGGGGAGGCCAACATTTATTACGCATAATGTAGGAATTACGAACCCCATTTGGTATGCCATTCGGACAAGAAGATTTCGAAACACATACATCAGACAATATTTTGTACACATTTTCTTCACCAATAATGAATTTAGGATGAATGTTACCACCGCTAAATTCAGACTGATATTCTGTAGAAATGTCAAAGTATAATCTTTACTAAGGGCTGCGAAGAAACGTTAATCTTGTCAGCAATAATATCATTATCTATAACCATGGCTGAAATAGTCTTTCTCTCTAGGCACAGGCGAATGATTGAGTGCAAACGTTCTGTATAGACATTAGCTATTTTAAGTAGTTCATGTGTTCGTATATTATGATTTTATTCTATATATTGATAATAATAATTCTGCATATTTTTTAATCAAGAGGAAGTGCATGGAAAAAACATATTGTTCAGTTTTAGCGGCTGAACTTCGCCAAGCTTAAAGGGTTTCCGTAAGAAGAAATCAAAACAGTAACAAAGCCAAACTTCAGCGAACGATATCTTTATATTAATTCACCACAACTTTTCAGTTGGCGTTTGTGATGTTACTCTGAGAATATATCAACCAGTGGGGCCGTGGCCAGGAGGGCCAGGGGAGCCATGAACCCCCTCCCCTATAGTTGAGAACCGTCGGGTGGTGAAGCATCGGAAAAAGTGATGGGAAAATCGGGAAAAAGTGCTACGAAAGCAATTGTATTGTTATTGTCCGGAAAATTTTTTACCTAAAAAGTTGTCGACGGGGGCGGGAGAGATTTAAAATATTGTCGTCCGAAAATTTTGTTCTCATTGAGGTTTGTCGGAAAATTACTGCCATTGCCCCCACCAAAAAAAATGGCACCCACGGCGCCCCTGATATCCACACTGGGCTAGCTTGAAAAATGTGCCTGGCCAGCCAAATATTTCAAGCTTGCCCGGTGTGGATATACACTCAGAGTAACATGACAAACATCATATTCACCCGAGTACATAACACCAACACAGAAAAAATCATGATTTTCAGTGGCATCCAAAACCCTCCAAAGAAACAGTTCTTGCAAATAGAGTATGATCATGCACTTTACAGAAAAGCGTGAAAATCGATTTCTTCCATTTATATTCATTCCCTTTTCACTACGATCATAAAAGATTTCCAAACTGAGGGTAGTTAACTATGGAGATCATACAAGCTTCACTGCCCAAAATAGATCCAAAATGAATAATGATTTTGAATAAACTGTTTTGGTTAACTAGAGGGTTGCAAGATGGGGCATGGTAATCAATTTTTACAATCTTTGATGGTGAGATCGGCCCGGAATTGGAACCCTTAACGTCAGGCTTTTGCGACATATTACGCACGGTAGGTAGTGGACAACTGATAAAGTACACCCTCTTCACCTTAATTTGCTCCATTTCTGTACACGAAGGTTCTCCGTCCAAGGTTAGCTTGTTACACGATCCTGCCCTTGCATTATGGAATTGTTCACAAGCCTCTTTTAACATTCTATTTCTATTTGAAAGTGGGACAAAATCTTTAGAATCTAACGGCTCGTACTTTTTCAAGGCACCTTTCCCAATATATAATTTGAGACTTTGACAAGCGTTTTTTTCTGACGAAAGATTTCGATCTTCACCGCTTTGCTGCAACTCAACTCTTCATTCAAATTCTTCTCACCTTTCATTTCCTTTTCCTTGTTTCATTATAAAAAATTTTCCGAGTAATATACATGTATATCCATTTGATACTAACTGCAAGTACAATATTGAGGGGCGCCTGAACCACGGGGTCGACTGATGCAGCTGCCTAAAGAGTGGGCGAGGAGGAGCACAGACATTTCAAAACTCGCGCGTTATTGATATCAATTGAAATTGAGAACTGTTCTCATGCATGCAATTGAGTTCAAATTTTAATCTTAAATTCGTCTCAGAAATATTGCTAGTCTAAGGTTTTCACCTTATCAGATACAGTAGAAAAGAAAGCATTGTTAAATAATTGACAAAATGTTATGTTGTTTTACAATGGTTTTTAGTCTTTATTGTCATGCAACAAGTAAAATTGTTCCAATCAATGCCAAAATTTGTTAAGCCATCGGTGGCTACAAGTGATTTAAATACCCGTAGAGCAAAAATCTTAGAACTAAAATCCCTTTTTAAATGGCTGCTTCGCCCATTCATGTTGCTAACGGCGTCCTGGACTATGTTTAAAGAGTGAAGTTCGGCAACAGTGTAAATATGGCGGAACTTTTTGGAAATTGAAATCGGGTCGGAAATGAAATTATATTAAAACCCGGTGTTTACGGACAAAAAATTCGAATGGCCCAATGTTAGCCATCAAATTCTAATTTACTTATAAACTGTTGCATTTTTTTTCAATTTATTACACGAAAAAAATGCTTTACCGCGTTTATTATTAGCATGACAAAATTACTGGATGCTGATTGGTTGAGAGGAGTACAATAATTTCATTAATTGTACTGCAGTACAATTAATGATTTTCCCAAAACAAAGAAAATGGCGGAAAGGAATTTTAATTAAACATAAGCTTGAAATGAAATTGCTGTGGAGGAACTAGATGAAAATACGAACAAAAACAACCAACTTTTGCTTGAACAAAAGAACTAAATGAAAATACAAACAAAAGCATCAAATTTTGGTTGAAAGTGTGGAAGAACTGGGCTTTGGCGGGAGAATATGATGTTGACATTGAGAAGTACTTATCCAATTTTGTCATGCTAATAATAAACCAGTCGGCTCGTCCAATTTTGGCAAAATTTCCAAACATCACTCGTACTATTAATCCCTAATTGTACGAGCAACATCGCATGATTACCTATACATAGTCATTGTAAACGATTTATTCTTATAGTTGGTTTTTTTTTCTCAAATTAGAATCATAATCAATTCAAATTTGTCAGACAAACTCGAGTTATTACGCTGGCCTGTAGGCCAAGTGTCTTAAATCCCTCTTTTTCTGTTTTTCCTGTGTTTTCCTGTTTTTTTCGTAGTCGAGAAATCGAGTTTGCGTTAGCTCATCGCAGGCTCAGGGTGCAACGTTAACCCAAAATGCCATCGATTCCCTCCGTTCCATGATTTATATAGTATAGTAATAAGCTCGTATTTATGTACGTAATAGCCGACTCGTGCCATGCTTGTGGTACATTTTTCGTTTATTAGCCCATACACTTGTACGCACGCGTACAATTCCGAACTCCAATGGCAGCTTTTCACAGAGTGATCAAACTATATTTTACACAGTTTCGTTGAATTTTCAAAGAATTGTGCCGGTTTCCTATGGATTGTACATTGTGTCGTACTCTGGACTTTCTTGCGTGTTGAATGAATGTGTTTTTCTTTGTGTAACGATACACAATATATAGAAGGATATATACAATATATAGAAGGATATTTAAACAAGGATAAGTTAAAGGTTTGACAGTTTGACTTAAATATACGTCGTGGATTCATAACATCCGTTGTGTACTTGTGGTAATTTTTGCGTCGCACTCTGGACTTTCTTGCCTGTTGAATTAATGTTTCTCTTTTTGTATTAAATTAAACGACTCGAAAACCCCAAAATTTCATAAATTTGTACCCAGCGAATTTATACAATATATTGGAATATAAACAAGGACAAACTCTCCTAATTCCTTACGATAGTTTTAGTCAAATGTCGAAAATATACCTTTAAATACATGTATTAAAATCCGCGCAGTACTGGATAAAATTTCCTATATTGAACCATAAAAATTGGAGACTAGGTTGCCCAAATGCCCAAAGATACCCACTATCATTTTTGCTTTCAAATGTCAGATCACTTCTGCCGAAAGTTGATGAATTAGATGCTATCCTTAAATTAAATCATGTCAGTTCGGTTTTTATCACAGAAACATGGCTAAACGAAAACATTGACGACGCCGCAGTTGAAATACATGGCTATTCCTTGATACGCCGTGATAGAAAATCTAGGACTGGAGGAGGGGTGTGTGCTTATATAAAGTCACAGATCCCCTTTAAAATTCTAACTTGTTTGCAAGATGTTTGTTTCGAAACTCTGTGGCTTTACCTGAGACCTCACAAACTGTTCCGAGGATTCTCATGTTTGGTTGTCTGTGTGGTTTATACCACCTACCATCCAGCGACAACAACACGCTAATCGAACACTTTACCATGAAGCTTGATGTTGCCCTCTCCATATACCCAAATGCTGGCATAATATTAGTTGGGGATTTTAACAAATGTCCAGTTTCCACAATACTCAGACATTTTACTTTAAAACAGATTGTTAAACAACCTACGAGAGGGAATGCTACTTTGGATTTAATTTTGACAAACATGTCAGACTTTTGTAACATCCCTTTGGTAATCCAACCCGTTGGGCGCAGCGACCACAATTCAGTGTTATGCTCATATAAGGAAGGTTCAACTAAAAACGCCCACACGAAAGTAAAAATCAGACAGGGAAATAATGCTGCAAAAACTGCTTTTGGAAAGTGGTTAACCGATTTTAATTGGACCATTTTATACCGCACTATTTCTTGTGAATAAAAATTAGACCTCTTCCAAGACATCATAAATGCCGGATTGGATTGTTTCCTTCCGATAAAAACTGTAAAATTACATAATAATGACAAACCTTGGGTAACTCCTGAATTTAAGTAAATTATCGGAACCAGACAAAAGGCATTCCATCATGGAAAAAGTCCACGTTATCAGCAGTTACGAAATCAGGTAAACAGAGAAAGTATGAAGCTCAGATCCACATTTTTTGAGAAAAAGTTAGAATAGTTAAAGCTAAACCCTAACCCAAAAAAGTGGTGTCAATCAATAAAACAGTTATCAGGATATCCTAAGAAGAAAGTTCTTTCAACTCTTGTCGTGGGAAATCAAGTGATGTCAGGAAAAGCCCTGGCCGAAATTATTAATGACGCTTGTAACGCGTTCCAAAGAATTTTGAACAATTCAAACTTCGAATTTTGACTCAAAATTGCAATATTTTGCGGAAAATTCTCATTTTTCTGCCAAAATACGGTATAATTGCCAAGTCAACGTAATTTTGCCCCAAATTTCAAAGAAAAAGGCGATTTCCTGCGAACTTGTGTCGAAATTGTATTAATATATAATCTTGATTTTCGCTGACAACAATTCTTCTGGCTTACATTTTTGTTATTTTTCTATAATTTGTGCTGAGTGTGTTCAGTCTACCTCCAAAATCAATCAAAGTCGAAGGAATTGGTAGAAAAAAGTTTATTTTTAATGTTTTAAGCTAATTTTCGCCGAATATTCTGATAAGTGTTCATTTTACCGCACAATACCAAACTTTTAAACAGAAAAATGAACAGTGTCTGCTAAAATGCATGTGCAAATAGAATAGCTGGTGTAATATATAGGGGTGTCTGAATTTCAGACTCCTCTATCGCTGGAAATTGAATAAACGATCATGCAAGATATAGTTATGTGAGTGTCTGAAATTCAGACACCCATATAGCTCGCAATAGAGCCTTATATTCTGTTGCGAGTTATATGAGTGTCTGAAATTCAGACACACTTATATTCTATTGCGAGCTATACGGGTGTCCGAATTTCGGACACTCTTATATTATATTGCGCGCGAGTTATATGCATGGGTGTCTGAATTTCAGACAGCCATATAGCTCGCAATAGAGTATAAGAGTGTCTGAAATTCAGACACCCATATATATAACTCGCAATAGAATATAAGAGTGTCTGAATTTCAAACACCCATATAACTCGCAATAGAAGATAAGAGTGTCTGAAATTCAGACACCCATATATAGAGTATATAGAATATATAGAATATAAGGGTGACTGAAATTAAGACACCCATATGTTTGCCATGCGCTGTAGCCTCCTCCACAGACATCTCATGGTTCACATACTTTACAATTTTTTTTGCCTGCAAGCAAATTTTTCCCGCCAATCTAAAGGCGATGCCTGCGGAGAAGGCTTCACGAGCTGCTATATTTCCTTATCTGGCCTAGAAAAAAAAGTTAGAAGTGCAAAATATCACTGAGAGTACAATGAGTCAAAAAACTAATGAAACGACAATAATGTGTTGCGGTTAATTGGTCAAAGCATGCACATATTAGATCAGTACAATTGTGATGAGTTGGTCTTCATGCCAAATGGCCGAAATCCTTGGAGCATGGGTGCGCATAATCAACCGATTTCTCATCAGCAAATTCAAACAGAGTAACGTTATGAATACTTGCAATGCGAACTACTATATGGCGATTGACGAGTCCTTGCATGGCAAACACCTGAAATTATCGCGAAATACAAGCCTGGTCTTTATGAATACCACATAAACTGTCTGCCTGATAGCGTATTTTACTAGTTTCAGATCGTTGGCAATAGTTTTCAAAGATTTACTTGTCTGCAGCTTTGGATTATGGAAAACATATATAGCTTCATTAATTTCGGCTTAGTATTGCGCACGACAAGACGCGATATAAACACTTGTAGAACATTCGTTTGGCGGTATGGTAAATAAACTGAAATATAATGCCGCGCTACATGTTATTCGCAAAAATCGTCAGTTTATTATCGGTTACACAGCCCATGCTTGTATATTTACGAGACTGTGATATGTAGCTATATAATGTACATATAGCTATCTTCGACCATGCATGCACAGCATGAATGTATACCGGAATTGGATACTCACAATACTTCTGCGCTAAAAGCTGCAGTAAGTGTAACCATGTAGCTATTATAACAAACTAGAAAGATATGAATAACGTATCGATGCGTTGAAAATAGACTTATGCCAAAGATAATTTACTATAGTTAAATCACTTAATTAAATGAAGTGTAATGCATTCGGAGGGCCTATATACACACTCCACAACGAATGAAATTTAATATAAAATCAGTGCAATTCAAGTCTTTAGCCGGAGAAAAACGTTAGTGAAGGTATATTAAGAAAATAATAGAGCTAACATGATATGTATTGTATATTCATTGTAATTGAGTAACTGCGGTACACTATGATTAATATCGGTGCAAACCGCAAATGATCTACACTACAGTTGTCGCATTACTTCTGCAAATTGCGCGCATTAAGTTTGCAACATGAATAAAATACTATTTCATAATTCATGCAATACATAATTCATAATAAATAGAACTGCTGTATGATTTACCTGGTGGCCGTCGCTTCATCTTACTGCGGAATCTCAATTCATATCCCATAGCTCTTTGTCTGAATTAACAGTCTTTCTAATTCTCTTGTATCGGCAACATAAATTTGCAAAATAGTATAATGCCCAGTCACCAGTCTAACCATATCTTAAAATTTTAACACTCCGCGGTGACAATCTATTCAAAAGGCTCGTGCGTGGGCAGACGACACAGAGGTTGCCGTCAAATATATGTTTTATTGTCAATTGTCACGTCCTGATTGGTTGAGCTTGATTCATAATCTTAATTTGAATTCTAAGTTTCCGTGCGCGTGTGTTCATATTCCAAAGTCTAATCCCGCAGAATAACAGAACTAGTGTAGAAATTGATTCAATAGACATATCCTAGCGACATAGCGAACAACTATAGTTACTAAATGAATACAGTGTGGGTACGGATTCGCTTTGGCAATGATTTATAAAATTCGTCAAGGGATACTAATAATGTCAATGCAGGTAAATAATTTTCCTATTTATCAATATTCTAAGGGAATTTAGAAACAAAGTTTATTTACTTTTGATTCGTGTACCGCGAGTAATTTATAGAGATACATGGTACGTTGCTATTCATTTGATATCGTGCGCAAAATTTTGCAATGTTTATCTGAAACTTAACATTGATTATTATGCGCTGATTTCCTCACTCCCATGGTGCTAATGAGTTTACTGATTGGTTTGCGCCGAGATTATAATACTATCGCATTCGCATGTGCTGTGTAAACACATAGAGCTTCACCAGCATCATTCATGATATTCATAGAGAATTTATAGCTACATTGTACGGTATATCATGACTGGCCTCACACTACACCGACTTATAATCCTTCCTGTATTCATATACTGTATTATTCAGGATCGTTTGCTTTTCACAACTTGAATCGACAGTTGGACAGTGTTGATTTTAATATCTTGAATCCATTCTCTATATCCAGGGGATATAATTAATAGATAATTACTGAGGCCAACGGCATTATTCGATATATTGCAGCCAGCTGAGGCCGAAGGCCGAAGCTGGCTGCAATATATCGAATAATGCCGTTAGGCCGAAGTAGTTATCTATTATAATTACTGACGTTAGTCAAACCTATTGTTCCTTCTCTTTAGATAGTGGCATAAATTAGTTCCTCTCAATTGGCTTTTGTTCTGGCTTTATAGCCCTTATTTGCAGTTTGGAGCTTATGTGCATACTTAGATGGCTCAGTTCATTAGATTTAATTTCTTTGTGTAGCCTTTTGTTTGATCTTACATGCTAGGTTGCGTCGCAATTTAGGCTTAGTTGTCTATTTTTCAAAGCTTTTTACTTGATGACATATTTGAAAAGAAATTTGCATATTTTAATACAGGCGACACAGCTACTTTTTTTCTCATGCGGGTGATTTAGGATAGCTAGTCGAACTGTTTAGAACAAACATGGATGATTCTTCAGATGATGAAAGTTTTTACATTACACAATCGTCGACTGGAGGGAGAAGCGCAACGACAGATATCGACGATGATTTGTTTGATACGACAACCCTGTTCGACGATGGACAATTGCAAAATGCAGTCACCGGTAAAAATACCGAAAAGACAGTGGCCGTGACGAGCTTTGATTTGTTTGAAGGTAGGTTACTGAATTTTACAAAGTATTTAGTTTTCCTGTTCAGTTCTAGCATACTAATCGAAGGTGATCGTTTTCGTCTAGATGGAGAGATTGATGGTGAATTGTTTGAAGCGGCAAGTCTTTTCGACAGTGAAAAAGCACGACATACAGAGACGAATAAAGAAATTCAAAATGCAGGGGCCGCTAAGAGATTTGAATCACTTCAAGGTAGGTTGGTGGGTTTTACTGTATTATTCATTTTACTGTTCTGTTCTAAGGTAACAAAAGTTCTTCATATTTTCGTGTAGGAAAAAGATTTCGAAAACCAATAACTTCTTCAAAGTGCGAAAGGTTCGGGCAAAGTTGGACATCCGAGGCTAGTCGAAAGAAGTGGCGTTGGGTATTGAGAACCTTCGAAGAATGGCGAGCCGCAAGAAATCATGCCGTGTCTTCTAACAATGAAAGCTATGACGACGAACCACTGGTCAACGCAAGTTTAGAGGAAATGTCTGACGAACAGTTGGACTTTTTCCTTGCACGTTTCGTCGCAGAAGTGAGAAAAACAGATGGCGCTGAATACCCTGGGAGAACTATATATGAAATGATAAGTAGTATTCAGGCTTATTTACGTGTTGAGTGTAAGCGTGATGTAACTTTAATTGACAAAACAGCTCGTGTATTTAGAAATTTAAACTCGGCTTTAAATTTTGTAATGAAAGAAAGAGCCGGGCAGGGTATTGGGGTGGAGACATCGCAAGCTAAATTTATTACGGAAGAACAAGAAAATTATTTGTGGGAACATGGCTTTTTAGGTTCCACGAACGCAGCGTTGCTTAGAGATACTTTAGTTTTTGTGTTCGGCTTACAATTTGCTTTAAGGGCTGGGCAAGAGCACAGAAACTTGAGGCGTGAAAACTCGCAACTTTCCCTACAAGTTGACGAATTCGGTGATGAATTCTTGCAATATAACGAGGATATCAGCAAAACTAACAACGGTGGATTGGCCCATTTGCGTACTAAACGCAAAGTTGTTCGGGCATATAGGAATTTAAAAAATCCAGAGCGTTGTCCGGTTGAGCTCTACAAGAAATATTTATCTCACGTTCCCACAACTACGAGCGATAACGCGTTTTATTTGCGAGCTTTGCCAAAACCAAACGGGCAGATTTGGTATTATAAAAAAGCTGCGGGTAGAGAAACGTTAGGAAATGTCGTGAAGAATATTATGAAAAATGCTGGGTTTGAGGGGTATTTTACAAATCATTCTCTGCGTCGTAGTTGTGCTACAAGACTGTACGATGCCGGATTCCCCGAACAAGTAATTCAGGAGACTACAGGCCATCGGTCGTCTGATGGGATTAAAGCTTATAAATGTACCTCGTCTTCGGTTAAGCGAAAAGCTAGTGAACTATTGCAAGGTGATCAATGTACTTTTCCGGAGGGTGAAAGAGGTGTAAAATGCAAATATGGCGCTAGAGATTTGTATGAAAACTTTAATGAATCGAGTAAAATGTGTGAGAGTGTTACGTGTGAGGTTGGAACGAGTGTAGAATGTAAAACCAAGACAGATGTGAAACCGAATTTTGATAAAGTAGTGTCTAACTGTGATCAGTCCATTGTTATTAACACAGATTGCACAAAGATAGTTGTTTCGTACAAATGACTGGTTTTAAAGTTTACTGTCTATTGTATACTGTCATTGTTGTATTTATCAATCTAGCGTGTAATAACTCATGATTCTGTAAATTTGTGGTACTGATTATATTGTGTGAAAATGCTGTCTTTGTGATGTATATTTGACCCGTATAAAAAGTATAATTATTTTCGGCTGGAAGACTATGTTGCTGCTGGTCGGGACCCTATGACAATGAACCTATCTAACGTGAGACATTTGTGAGGACATGCATGTAATGGATCGTGATAGAACAGATTTCAGTTGAATTAATTACCCTATATTAAAATCTCCACAAGCGCAGGTCAATTATATTATAGTGTTCTAATTATCATTAATGATAAGATTAATTCAAAGAGCGTATTAAACTGGATAAGCACGGGAATAGAACTTATGGTGTGTTCTGCACATGCGTAGATCTAGGATAAAATCCCACAAGCGCAAACCAAACTATTTCTCTATAAAGTTTAGCTGAAAGGACTCACAGCGACCGTTTTTGGCTATGCTTCAGGCGCCCGATGATATTATATGAGGGGCCTTTAGCACTGTCATTTTGTCGTTTTGAGATGTTCACGTTATCGCGTGTACTTGTCAGGATGACGAAGGTGCATTATTGAGAATAATGTCATTCTGCACTGACGCACGCTGCATTATTTTTAATTCTGTGTGCACGCTACATTATTTTTAATAATGCTGTGTGCACGCTGCATTATTTTTAATAATGCTGTGTGCACGCTGCATTATTTTTAATAATGCTGTGTGCACGCTGCATTATTTTTAATAATGCTGTGTGCACACTGCATTATTTTTAATAATGCTGTGTGCACGCTGCATTATTTTTAATAATGCTGTGTGCTATTTTAGCCCGTATAAACATTTACCCCTGGTAATTTCCCTACTATCAAAAAAGACCGCTCCCGTTTTTCTGAAGAATCTGATCCTATTCATGGTATTCCATTGTATAGTGCAGAGTGAAAACAATAGCTTATTATGACCGTCAGTAATTATTTATATATATACACTGTAGGTATTCACGGGCATCATATGATATCGTGGCTAGTAAATGGCCTTTTTTTCTTCTTTGACTCTAATATACCTCACTCTAATGTAAAGCTGTTTTTAATTATGTTTATTGTTTAATTATAGCTCGTTGGCCACCGCAACTAATTTAGCGCAGAAAGATTGCAAGTATTCGTGTCAGGTAACCATTCACCAAGATAAAGATTACATATATAAACTGAAAGGCAAAGGCCAGAGGCATGCGTGATAAAGATTCAGTCGAAGAATGTACAAATCTGTGATGGTATATTTATCATAGCTATAATATGAAATCGAACTGTCAAACCGCACAAAGATATCAGATTCAGATATATATTTATATTTAACATAGATACCTTCCAATAATTCGGCACGTTTAAGAACTCAGGCTCTATACGTATAGTTATATATGTGGTTGGAAACATTCTACAATACTGCTATTGCTCTAAAACATATATATTTATTTTGGACGAACAATATATCTTTAATGAATCTACGCGGCTAAGTGGGGATAAAATTTCAGTTTAATAACTGCATGTATGTAGGGATTTATCACTTATTTACTGAGACCGAGGGAAACAGTGTGTTTTGTGGACCCTCGACCGTCGATGTTTCCCGAGGCGAATGCTTTCCCGAGGTCTCAGTAAATAAGTGTTTTATTATATATCAATAGTCAAAGAAACGACAAATTAAAGAACAAATCAACGTAAATACATGAAATATTTTATTGTTAAAACGTTATATTAAACACTGGCCACACTGCAGTTACTTAAAGCGAAAGTTTTAATTACGTACTAGGCATGTCCAAAGGTCGCATCTTCACGTGATGGCGCACGTGATTTTTTTTTGTTATTCGCCGGTCGATAACGTATTATCTCCCTCTCGCGCTGTTGCGAGGGAGACAGCCTAATTTCGTCACTCTCACGTGATATGCTCTCAACCAATAAAACACTAGAAAAATGCGACTTTGACTATTGATATATAATAATGAAGCTTACTGTGTACTGACACTGTGCGACTCGAAGATTTGCATTTATATGCATATTTTACTACAGCATTCCAATTTTAACTGCATTTACTTGCCTTAGTTATGATTTATCTGTAATTTTATTCCTGCTAAGAATGCCTCATTTCGATATGGATATGGAATTACGAACTGATTTGTTATAGAATATAGTTTTAAAACTACTGTACAAACAAATATTAATTTGTAGTGCAATTTTCCATCTCAGTTGTGAAACAATTATATGTAATAATAGTTTGCATTTTCTAACAAACTGACCTGGTATTTTAGGCTTTCATACCCAACTGATCAGCTGAACAAAGTGGAAACCCATATCTGTACTCTATATACTCAGAAATTTTAGGCCGTCATAATTTTCAATTTACAACAAATTTAGCTGATGCGGCTACTTTAGGCATACTATAGTTCTCAAAATAATTTCTATTTTAAAGGTAAAAAAGTTAGAATCAAAATTAAACTCACTGCATCAAATTTAGATTCATTGCGGACGGTTATAAGTTCCAAATTTGATTATAAGTTGCAGTTGCGGACAGTATATATATTTTGCTCATTGGGAAAGAAAAAATGCAATGACCATTTTTTGGAAAAAGACCTTTACTAACGGAGAAAAATATAATTGAAAATCCCATTTTAGTTTGGAACGCGTTGACTTTTGTATTAGAAAGATTAAGGTAGTCTGAATGTCAGTTATATATCCCTATATTTTGCATCAGTTATTTATTCTGTATTGCCAGCAACTCTAATTGCATCCAAATATAGGGGTGTCTGAAATTCAGACACCCTTATATTTGGATGCAATATATATAGGAGTGTCTGAATTTCAGACACCTTTTATTTGGAAGCATGATATAGCGGTGTCTGAATTTCAGACACCCTTATATTCGGAAGCATGATATAAGGGTGTCTGAAGTTCAGACACTCTTATATTTGGATGCAATATACTGTATATAGAAGTGTTTGAATTTCAGACATCCTTATACTTGGAAGCAAGTTATAAGGGTGTCTGAATTTCAGACTCTCTTAGATTTGGAAGCAAGATATAGGGGAGTTTGAATTTCAGACACTCCTATAAATACTTTTGGCGTATATACTGTTTTTAGTGGAATCTTGCATTGACTTGATGTAAAAAGGGTATTTGTGCAGACAGTCAAATTGTGTCTGCCAAAAAAAGCGAATTTCCTTAAAAAAATTGACGAGTCTGCGACTTTTTGTTAATTTCCTCAATCTGTGCGGAAAATCACAAGTTTGGAATTGTTCAAAATTCTTTGGAACGCGTTAATGTGTTTCAGTTACCAAAGAAATCCCTCCTTTAAATCGTCCTCATATCGACATTTTACCAGAAAACAGCCATTATGACATTTCACCAGAGTTTATCATTAGTTAAAGAAGAAGAGTATACCATAAATTATCCATTATATCAACTGCTAAATCTCCTGGTCCAGATGGAATACCAAACTGGGTTCTGAAGTTCTACGCTTATGTACTTGCTTCCCCTGTTGCATCAATTTTTAATGCTTCCATCCAAAAAGCGACTGTTCCGACCATGTGGAAAAAGGCCAATGTCATCCCAATTCCAAAAATAGCTTCGCCTGAGGACATCACCAAAGATCTTCGCCCCATTTCGCTTGTACCTACCCTGTCTAAAACCTGTGAACAGTTTGTTACCGATTGGCTACTTGAGTATATAAAGGAAAATATTGATAGACGCCAATTTGGCTCCTTAAAAAATTCCTCGACAATTAACTCATGCCCTATTAAGCTTCTTTCATCACCTGTTATATGAAACTGATACATCAGAAACCGCTGTAAGGATTTTTTTGCTCGATTTTTCGAAAGCTTTCGATCTTATAGACCACAACATCCTACTGTACAAGTTATATGAAATGAAGGTACCAGCGACAATTACAAACGGGATTAGAATTTTCCTTTTTGAACGCAAACAACGCGTCAAGATAGCTAACTGTGTATCAAATTGGCAAACTTTAAACGGAGGTGTGCCACAAGGAACAGTTCTTGGGCCAATACTTTTTCTCGTTATGATCAACGACCTTCTCACAGAGTGGAATAACAGATGGAAATACGTCGACGATAGTACTATCACTGAAAGTATTACACCGGATATCAATAGCATCCTCCAAGAACTTGTGGATACTATTTACAACTGGACCATCGTTAATAATATGAAACTGAACATCAGTAAATGCAAAGAATTGATAATAGACTTTGCAAAAGATAAACAGGAATTCCCACCTTTAATTATAAATCAGCTCGGGTTCTGGGACTAATTGTTCAGGATAATATGAATTGGAATGAACACGTAAACAATGTTGTCAAAAAAACAGGAAAAAGACTCTGCCGAGAGTGCTGAAACGATCAAACGCGGATAAGAACACGTTAATCACTGTGTACACCACTATTATTAGGCCTGTCCTTGAATACGCCTGCCAAGTCTGGCATTTCAACATCCAAGAGTATTTGAGCGAAGACATTGAAAAGATTCAGCGGCGTGCTTTGCGAATCTCGTTGCCACTGATTAATGAGTTAACAGAGAAGCCCGGAATTTTACTGGTATCCCTTTACTAAAAGCAAGGAGAGAAACATTATGTGAACAATTTTTTAAAAAGAATGAGAATAACGATACACTAAGCGAACTATTGCATCATAAAGCAACAGCAGACTACGATATGCGACCAAGATGCAAGTATAACAATTATCTATGTAGAACTGAACGTTTTAGGAAATCGTTTTTTCCTCACAAATTATTTCCAAAGAAAACAGTAAATAACTGAGTAGAAGTATAGGCCTATTGTTTTTTGCTACTTTTGAGCTCTTAATATTCTTAATAATGTAATATAACGATAACTTAATACTTTTTAACAGTAGATACAAACTTTGTAAATTTCTGATGTAATTTAACCTATTGGTTACAAAATCAGTTCTAAAATAAATTATAAATTATAAATGGAATTCGCGCAGCGCTGCCCGCTGGTGCCGGGAAATTTTAGTACTGCGCGAAATATAATCTGCGCGAAAAGCTTTGTGGTAGCTATAGTAAAGATAAAGCGTGCGTTCAAAATAGCAACAAGAACTAGAACCATTATTGTATGGTTCTCATTTGCTAGACTTGCCACAAGTCGACCTCGAAGAAACGCATTTCGCTCGAGGTCGACTTGTGGCAAGTCTACTCATTTGCCTAATACAATAACATTAGTTCGACGCGAATTTTAATACAAGTATGGTATCATATTTCATAATATAACAAACAATGTAAACTAGCCATACATTTTGCCGAACATAACGTCGGCCCCTTTGGACATATCTTCTTCGTAATAATATTATTGGAACCAGAATCGAAAACACTATTTATAGTGTTATTTTCAAGCTTGTGTCTTGAGATTTTCATCTTTTATTTCGGTATTTACAGAATATTTATATTTTTAGCGCGGCCCATGGAACGCATATCAAAACAACGCGCTGTTTAGGAAAAACCGGAAATACACAGAAAATTTTGAGGAGTAAAAATTACTCCGAAAAACGAGGGTAACTAAATGTCCACAGAACGCCCCGTTTTTTGAGGGAAAATCTTAAAGGAGTAAAAATTACCCCGGGTGGGTAATTCGTAAATGGGGTAAAAATTACTCCGAAAAACGAGGATAACTAAATGTCCACAGAACGCCCCGTTTTTTTAGGGAAAATCTTAAAGGGGTAAAAATTACCCCTGGTGGGTAATTCGAAATGGGGTAAAAATTACCCCATTTTAAGACGGTATTTGTTGTCTACAAGTTATACCCCAATTTGGGGTGAAATATTTTTCACATTTGGGTGTATTAGAATTAAAAAACACAGCATACATATATTAACAAAATAAATAAATAAATTTAGTTATGTACACAAGGTAAAAATACTTAACTAGTAACAGTAACTGTTTTCAATATCAAACCGCAATCTAGGTGAGAATATGAACGCGTGGAACTTAACAATCTATACAGTTGCTAAACTATTTAGTTTTTGCACAAAATTTTGTAAAGTGATCCTATTCGCCGTTGACGAGCATCCTGCGCTTAAACCAAGTAGAACATTGTCTATAAAACCAAAAAGGTTTTTGTATTCTTTTGGGTATTCCATATTGAACACGTAGTAACATTGATGCATTGCGAAAAAGACGCTTTCGAAGGGAAAACTTGATCCATCCAAGAGTGTCTGCCCTTCGATGGCAAGGGCTAAACGATCAATTTTTACGACGCTCTTGTTACTCCTATAATGGTAGGAAATTTTGTTTGTCCAACTTCCTCATCAAAATCATCATCTTCCTATAGTATAGTTAAGAGAATACAATTATATGCGTTAGTTTTTCAAATAAAAATGCTGTAAGTTTACACAACACGCAGTTTTTGGAACATGCAGGGATGACGTTGACGACTCTTATATTATACCGTACCTACTTGTTCATTCAGTTAGTATGTAAACAGGTACCAGTAATCCAAGAATCGATAAAAATGACATGGATTGTGAGGTTTTCTCGTCACTGTAATGACTGTAATCATGCAGACCCTAGCTCAATACACCATATACACCAAAGGCAAAACGGTATACTAACCGACAATAATTTGATTAATTCATAATCTTGCTTTCCCGTTTTTTTCTCTAGTAATTTAGGAAGAACCATCAACGCAAATGTATTTTCATATGCTATAAAACAGAAAGTCAGTGTCATACATATGTATACCGTATACAATGGTATATTAAGAACATTGTTGCTTTGCAACCTATGCCATGCATGCACGATGAATCAAAATCACCTGCAGGGAAGTTTATTCCATTCCGATTATTCTGTAATTTATAAATGTAATTTCTCGACTCGGTTACAATTTACTTGAGCAATTTGCTAATCAATATAGCGTATATAAACATACCTTGAGTCTTTTCTGGCTCCTGGGAAATTGCCCGTTGAAGATCATGTAATACATTTTTAATGAATGGGTTCTTCCGTTGAACGTTTTCGCAGTATTTCACAATCGCACTTTGGAGAGAGAACAATTTATCCTTCATTTCTTTAGTTGCAGCATTGTCCTCAAAAATTCTGCTAAATTCATGACGTATCTACATGTGCATAGCAAAAGTGAAATTAATTTTTCAATATGTTAGTGATTTTCTGCAGCACACAATCTGTTATATCTAACATTATGCTAACATATTCCCAAAAAAAATATACGTAGTAGTGCACCATTAATTTTTCCACATACTCGCCAGAGCGCATTCATATTTTTACCAATATAATCAATTATGCAATCTTAACCTAAAAATTTGCTTGATCACTCGACAAAGAATGTGGATATGTTACAATAAAAATACAAAACTTTCAGTGGGCGTAACTAGAGCGCTAATTGGGGGGTGCGGCGTTGGTATATTCATATATTTGTGTTCTGCCCGACTAATTTCTTTTGAAATGAACTTAAAAACAACCGATTTCAAAACAAATTCGTCAGGAAGAACACAGCTATATGAATATACAACCCCCTCCCAATTAACGCTCTAGTTTCGGCTCTGAAAACTGTTTGCACCATAATGCAACATTGAGGCCAAATTGAATAACTTACCCCGCTTATTGTGGCAAGAGGTGGGTATGTTTCCATAATTTTGCTGACAGGGGTCAATGTAGTAAGTATCTCTTTTCTTCTCAGTTGAAAAGTTGATGCCATTAAAGTTTTGACTTTGTTTTTGTCTTGACTGTTGGCAGACTTTTGTGTTTCTTTATGTAGCTCAGATATGTGCTCTTTTTGAATGGCTTCGGTGGTGTTTTCGGAATTTGGTATTTCATTCCAGATATCTGCTTTTCTCTGGCGCTTCAGAACAGGTTTTGGCGCACATGTACTTGGTTTATTATCATCAGCAGATTGTACCATGGATCTTTTCTTGCTCTCATACTTCCTTACATGTTTAAATCGATTTTTGATGCTTTCTGTCCAAGATCCCTTGATGTTAAAAAAGAACACATCAGATCTTTCTATTCATGAATTAATAAAGTATAAACGAAGACGTTATAGAAAAATGTAAACAAGTCGAACTTTATAAAGACTGCTCATTGAGAGCTAAACATGAGCTGACAACAATGACTATTGGTGTAAGCAAAATCCACTGGCAAAAACTCCCTGTGTGCATGTTGCAAAATTTTGAGAAATTATTCCAAAAATAGGTACGCTACGCGTACATGTATCTGCGAAAAAACTTGATTAACATTTTCAACACTTATTATAATAAATATAATAGCAAATAAGATTTTAAAGTCAAACATAGTACAAATCTAACTAGGCTGTAGACAGCACAGAGGGCAGCAGGGGAACCTCAACTTTCCCCCTCCCCTGAGAAAATTTAACCAATTTTATGTGATTATGATTGTAACTCGGATAATTATGCAGTCAAAAAATAAAAATTTCACGCAAACAATATTCGCATTGTCTATTTAGTAAACGACAACTTGTCAATCCATACCCATTTTGAGAACTTTATTGTAGTCACATGAAGCAAAAGTTCTGTCACTTATTGTTTACACTTGCCAACGTTAACTGTTGAGTAACATAAACAAACTATTCGAGGAACATGCATTAATACTGTAACAAAGAGTCCATCATATATCGAAGACCACTGAATGTAAAAGGTCATGAATGAAGTATATAATTAAATTCCAATCCTGTGCACAGTTAATGATATAGGCCCTACCACACTGTTCGGTTTAACACAACATATCCACACAAAAACAATTTGTGTTGTGGGAGAATATCGGTTTGAGTAGAAGGTATCACAAGTTCAGTTTTGTACATATTGTGTGCCATTGATCTGACCATCCATATAATATATGATTATTGTAGCTGTTAAGCTATTACAGTATCCATACCATTGATACTTATGAATTTAGGTAAGATTGTCTTGCAAGTGGGTTGCTCTGACAAAATTATCTAGCCAATATCCAGTACATTTATTCATCATTCTTGCATTAATCTCTAGACAAAAACATTTATGTTAGAAAGAAAAATAACAATGTAATATTAAAGGAGGGAGGGTGGGGATTCTTTTATTAGCATTTGAAAATGTTTGCAAAAATTTGGTTTAATTATAAACTCTGTTAAATGTGTAAAACCAAAATGTATAAGTATTGTAAACTGATAACATCTTTAACATCCAACACTACATCTATAATATATGGTATTTGACTACTTACCAGATGAGGATAAGTTTCCATATTGATAAATAACTTTGGAATAATATCACAAGTAGAGAAAACAAGACAGCCAATTCAAGATAAATTGATAAAAATATCAAGATATTTTTGAAAGAATAACACAGTCACACGAGGCTAAAGTATGCCCGTTCGCAGGTTAGATGCGTGCACGATGTAAACAATTGATGTAAACTGATCGCTGATTGGCTTAAATTGGCTGAATTATATAAGCCCGTCGCTGAATGGCTATAGGAATACGGTACGGTCGCGACAACCTCGCAAGCCAGGGTCTTTTACTTCCGCACGGCGCTACAGCAAAGACCCTGGTTCCCTCTGGTCACGTGAGCTCCTAAAAATTAGGGCAACAAGAAGTCCTAGGGGACGGTGGTTGAAATGTGATATCTTGTAATTTACAACTTCCGGTTTAATGTTGTGTTTTCAAGGCCCGCCAAAGAGTGACTGTGCTATGAGAAGTGACTTCAACTGTAATATGCAAAAACATTCAAAATGTGTTATTTTTCTTATTTGTCTGCAGTTTTCTATATTTTGTATGCAAACACTATTTTGAAGCCCAAGCAGGTTATTTGCTTGGAAAAGCTGTGCTTTGGTGTGTATATACTGGCAATTTTTCCAACCGGTAATATGGCGAGTCGCTGATTTACCAGCTTTTGCCTTTGATACTTTTCGCTAAAAGAGCGTTAGGAGAATATCCAACTCATGGCGTTTGTGTAAATGAGTAATGCTGCTCGTTACAGTATATCGCGAACGTGCCTTTGATAAACAATCCAGCTCGAAAATTATGTGCGATAAAACTCAGAGTATCAGCAATAAATGTTTTTCAGCAGCCATTAAAATGTCACAACGAAGAGATTGATTGCGATGTAGCTGAAATTGACCAAAAGACAAAACTAATTCTACA